TCTAATGTAGTTGAAAGGGGGAGTCCCCTAGTGACTGGGTACAGAAGGAGGGTTCAGCTTTGGCTACGTGGCCAGCAAAGCAAGAAACAATGATTTTTCTTGTCTGCATCTGCCCCCAGCTTGCTTAATTGCTCTGTAGTGCTGGAATATTATTTAATACAAGGGGCAGCAGCAGCTATCACCAGAGCCTTCTGAGGGCTAGCAGTGGTCTAGGGCTAGCCTGGCTGTGTCCCTAACAGCGTCTTAGAGCAGGGGCAGGGCTACTGGCCTGCACTAACAAAGCTAGTGCAAACTCCAAAGCCTGTGTCTTGGCTGAGCATGGTTGACTGCTGGTTCCTAACTTCGGGACCTTTGATTTGGGTAGCCCTGGTTCTGGAGCTATGCCTGGGGCTGGAGCTGTTAGTTTTGAATTTGTTACCATCACTAGCATACAGAGCTCTTCCCAACACTGATCAGTCAGGGGCAAGCACCCTCCTGCGAGCAGGGCTGTGCGATGGGGTCTGTCCCTGCCTATGCTTTGTAGTGTAAGAGGTAATCTCCCTTCTGCCAAAGGTGGTTGTGGTGTCAGCAGCACACCTGCCCCATGTACCTCCACTAGCAACAAGCCCTTCCCACTCGCTTCTGTGCCTCTGCACTGTTATGGCCAGTGGGGGGGGAAGGGAGCCTCTTGCCCCGCAGACTGAACTGGACCATGAGGGCCTGGGGGCAGGACCTGTGTCCTGGGGAGTTTGCAGAGCACACAGCCTTCCAAGTAACTAGGGACTGACTTTTCCTCTCCTGAGCCCTGTAGCTGAGGTGGGTATTGGGGACCCCTTAAGGGCCTATTCCTGAGCATGGGGAAATCCCATCTCCACAGAATCTGCTGCCTCATAGTTCAGTCCAGCAGGGTGGGGACGGGCCAGCCCAAGGGATGAACCGCTGTGGGTGGTGGGAGGTGTGGAAGAGGAAGGCCCAGCTGTGAGCTTGAGCATGTGAATTCTCTGTGCGATGGCCAAGCCTGCACCCTTCCCCAACTGCTTCAGGGTCTGTAGTGGCTTGTGCAGATGGGCAGCCCTGTCAATGGCTAGAACTGGCTTCTCTTTGGGGATGCCTTTGAGTGGCTGACACAGCCCTCTCTCAGTCACCAGACTCCAGTTCATCACGTGTTGGCCCGTACGCAATCAGGAGAATAGCAGAAGAATGGGCTGTGCAGGGTGGTGGTGCTGGCAGCGCTCTGGTGCTTGGCGGCAGTTGACGAATGGCTGCAGTGTTTGGGCTGGCTGGAAAGGCTCCCTTAATGCTTCCTCGCACTGTCCCCCTTCGTGCCAGATACACACGCAGTCTGGCCAATGACTCTGCCATCTTGCACTCTCGCTAGCTGGTGGTTGCCAAGGGTTGTCTGATTGCTTGCACTTCCTTGTTCTCTGTTTGCTGGCAGGAGGGAGCGTGGTGTCCTTTCCCTAACACTCAGCACTGGCCTTGGCCTTTCCTGGTTATTTTGTCTACTCTTGGAAAAGCCTGGCTGCTCATGGTAACTAGACAGAGGCTGTCTGTAGCTTCCCTCTCTGTGTGCCACTGGGAGAAGAGAAGGATTTTCAAAAGAGCCCAAGTGATTTATGGCTGCAAGTGTCATGGGCTTTCAGTGGGTCCTGAGTCAAAGTCCCAGTGAAAAGCAAGGAGATTTAGCCCCTAAAGGTGCCCCTATGTTGCAAGCGAAGGTGTTGTTAGACACACAGGCACCTTGTTCCCTGCCCCAGCTGTGATCTAGCTAATGGGTTTAAAATAGTAGCATTGATGTGGAAGTGCAGGCTAGCAACCAGTGTGTGTCCAGGCTTCTCACAATGCACACATACTGGTCTTTAGCCAGTGCTGATACCTAGGCCGCCCCATTTGAACTGCTAGGAATGTCTGTGCCAGCTCGATGGAAGCTAATTCAGATTGTCAACGGAGAGCTCTGGAACAGTCATGGAGTGTGAGATTGTCAAGTGTGGGTGCTGTTGAGAACCCTAAGGGTGGGGCCTACCACTAGCCATCAGACAAAGCTGTCCTTTCCTACTCTGATGCCCCCAATAATGCTGTCCTGGGCCCTGTTAGCAGCAGTGTGAGCCCCAGAACAGCTGAGCTGCTGACATTTTTAACACTGTCAAAAGACGAATAGGCCTGTGGCATCTTAGAGACTAACCAAACTCAATAGACTCATGAGCTTTCATGGGTAAAACACTTCATCAGATGAACTGGGGTGGGACTAACAGAAACCAAGAGATGTATGTAAATGCAGAAGTACCAGTAGGACCTGTGTTAATGAGGCTAATTAAGTGGGCTGGATGTATATCTTACATAGCTTTTGATGTGGAAATGCAGATGTTAATGACAGGAGAATCAAAAGCTAGTATGGGACACAGCCAGCCCACTTAATTAGTCTCATTAACACAAATCCAACAATTAACTGGTGGTATTTCTGCTTTTACATACGTCTCTTGGTTTCTGGTCAGTCCACTCCAGTTCATTTGCTGAAGTGGTTTTTACCCACGAAAGCTCATGATTCTATAGTTTGGTTAGTCTCTAAGGTGCTGCAGGAGTATTTGTGTTTAAAGTTACAGACCCTGCTCCCCCTCAGTGCTAAAAATCTCAATGTGACTGAGCTGTAGGTGCAGACCAGTGCCCATCCAGCGTAGAGCATCCTGCAGAGCTGCCACCAGGGCAGCAGAATATGACACTCCTGCTGTTTGGAGTGGCTCATGGTAGTGCTTAGCTTAGTATGTTCTGAAATTCAGTTTTGTCCAGGCAGTGAAAAATATGAACTGCTGGATCACGAACAGTCTTACATGATGTCCCAGCCTCTCCTTCACCTTTCCAGTCACTCTTGCCATCCAGCCAAACTGGACTTAGTGATAAATGGTTACACCAGAACTCTCACCACATTTAGATTGCTCCCAGTCCTGAGACCAGTTACTTACCCCAGATGAATTGGTGCTCTAGGTCCTACATGGAAGCCCATGCCTGTAGCCAGTCCTATAATAAACCACCTAAGGGTTATTAACTAGGAAAAAAGAGAGTTGTGGTTAAAAGAAGCAGCTCTGTAAGTGCAAATGAGTTACCATCTAAATCTTAAGAGTGACAGTTGTAATCATTCCAAGTGCCTTTCAAAGCAGACCCAGGAGGCAGCCTCTGGATCTCTGGCTTCAGCACAGGCTTTGTCCACACCACACAGCTCTTTAGCAACACAGCAGTGTCATGGGAAGCTGGGCGGTGCAAACACCATTTGTCTGCATTTTGATGACAAAAATCCTCTGCCTCCCTCAAGCAGCATTTGCTTTGTTGGCAGGAAAGCTCTGCCAATGTTTCTCTCCTCTCTGAGGTGGGAGGTGCTCACAGTTCAGAGCAAATATTTTTTACAGTTATGGCACCTCCCTGTATTAAATGTTACCGCATAGTGGGATATGGATGTGAGATTAACACATGCAGCGACATACAAGCATCTTATCGCGTCTAAACACCATGTATGTTCTTATGAAACTCATCCCTGTTTAGAGCATGACTAACACATGGGATCTGGCGTGGTCTCCAGTTAGGGGTTGTCAGTCCTTAGCTAATGGCTGCAGCCTGAGCAAGAGCTGGTGTAACCACCACCAGAAGGATTTGAATCTGGGACCTCTGGAGCTTAGTGTAGGAGCCGTTACAGCTTGAGCTAACAGCCAGCTGGCTGCCAGTTTCAGCCATAGAGCTCCCTTGTTCTTATCTCTGGCTCTAAGTGGGACGGTGACCCACACTAGGTGTGGGTGTTACACTGGCATCTCCCCTGCTACTGCCACGCTAACAATGGTGAGAAATTGCTTCCAAATTTCAGCTCACCTAGGGAGGACGCTGGCTTCTGCTGTGGGGTGAGCTCCTTCCAGGGACCATGGGAAGGTCCCTTTAGAGCTGTGAACCTGTCACCCTAAGGCCAAAACTGCCCAGGTGCTGAAAATGCGAAGCTGTGCCTGGTTCCAGCTCTTGGAGAGGAAATGGGGGGAGGCATGTGCTGACATGGGTGTAAGTATGTAAAAGTAGCGTGGTGACCATGGCTGTTGTACAGCTGTACAGCAGGGGTCACACCGGAGAGTCTGCCCGTACTTTGATGGTGAAGATGCCCCAGAGGTGACGTAGCTAATGTTTGCAAGGGGCATTGCGGGCAAAGAGCACTGAGCATCATTGTGCGTAGTGTAAATTGCGATTCTGTATGAAACTTACAACAGAATTTCTGTACCCCCCCCACTAATATGCAGCCACTGCTGGGGTGCAGCTGACCGTTCATTTTGAGAACTCATCTGGAGACAAGCAATGCAGCATACCCTTTCCAAAAAGCAAAGAGCAGCTCCTGACTCTTCCCATCCCTGATGAGTCTCTGGGGACTATTTAAGGTGGGAGAGTAACTAGGAGTCAGAGGAGAAAGATAACAAAGGGGGAAAACTGGCTTAATGGCAAGAAGAACCGCCTGGTTGGTGATTAGTACTGGCCTCTGGCATGGTCCCAAGGGGCACAATCCTGCCCTGGCTCCAGGAAATGGACCGGATGGGACCCAAGGGATCTTGCTAGTTTTCACACACTGTGACTGCCACAGAGCAGCCCTGCTCACCAGTGCGGGGCAGGGAACGAGGGTAAATCCTTGCCCAGCTGAACATGCGGGAGGGAGAAGGCAGAAGGTGATTGCTCTTTGGAACTGGGTCACATCCGACACCGTTACGCTTGCAGAGAGCCCTGGAATCTGCACTGGGCACAGGTGGCCAGGGCCTCAGTTCTGTGCCGCATCCATGAGGCAGTGTTCCGTGCGGGACACCCTGTAGGCTTCCCTAGGGAACAGCTTCCAGAAATCCAACCCCAGTTCTGCAGCTGAATCTGGGCTAGGGTATCTTGAGAGTTGGTCAGGATTCCCATGATGCTTTGTGTGATGGAGCTGTTGCCCTCCCCTCCCCCATGTGGGTCTCATTTATGGTTAGGGTGAGAGGAGCTGGCATTCTCCTTTCTGCGTACGGTACGAAGCCGAAGTGGAAAGTCAGAGGGTTTCTTACTCGCCATTTCTCCGCTTTTTCCCGCTAGTGATGAAGATGAGACTTCATGGCTCCCAGCACCTACTGTAGACTGTGTGGACTCTCAGCCTCGCGAATCCAAAATCAAGAGCTTGTAAGTTTGCACCTGATGTGGGGAGGTAGCCCTATGGCGGAGGAATAACTAGCCCCTTCGGCAGAGGTCTGGGCCAGCCCTCGCAGGATGGGGAGAGTGCCATTCCCCAGCTCTGCTCTGGCCCTGCCCAAGCTGTGCCCTACACCTGGCCCCAGCCTCAGCATGGCTCCACAGCCAGCTGAGGGCCCGGCTGCCGTTCTGTTCCCGCCTCTAGCCTTGACCCCTCACAGTGGCTCTTTTCCTGCCTAGGGCCAAGGCTGGGGGCCAGGAGCAGAGCTGCAGCTGGCCCCGGGCCTGGCTGCTGGCCCCCACAGTGGCTCAGCTGTGGCTTCGATCCTGCGCTCTCTTCCCTCAGCCTTGACCCCAACTCCCTTCCCTCCCCTCCCTGGAGCCATGGCCCTACTCCCGGCTTTGAGGGCTGCGGTGGGGGACCACTGCCTTAGAGCATTATAGCTGGCTACAATACCTGTGAGGCGTTCCCTGCGGAGAACAGGACTGTGCACTGTGAGGAGGAGCAGTCCCTGCCCACAGAGCTGGCACCATCGTACGGTGGTGTGTGTGCACATAGGGCATTGGGGGCTGGCATTTGTGAAGAGCTCTGAGAGGCCCGCCCAGGCTTTCTATGCTCATTCCCAAGCCCTAGCGTGATTTGGAGCCCCCAGGGTCAGTGGTGCCATAGGACAGGCCAGCCTGTGTCATACAGGTTCTTGAGTGCCAGGAAATCATAGAACCATAGAACACTAGGACTGGAAGGGACCTTGAGAGGTCATCGAGTCCAGCCCCCCGCCCTCACGGCAGGATCTGGTACCATCTCCATCCCTGATAGACATTTATCTAACTACTCTTCAATATCTCCAGAGATGGGGATTCCACAACCTCCCTGGGCAATTTATTCCAGTGTTTGACCACGCTGACAGTTAGGAACTTTTTCCTAATGTCCAACCTAAACCTCCCTTGCTGCAGTTTAAGCCCATTGCTTCTTGTTCTATCCTCAGAGGCCAGGAAGAACAATTTTTCTCCTCCTTGTGATACCCTTTTAGATACCTGAAAACGGCTATCATGTCCCCCCTCAGTCTTCTCTCTTCCAAACTAAACAAGCCCAATTCTTTCAGCCTTCCCTCATAGGTCATGTTCTCTAGACCTTTAATCGTTCTTGTTGCTCTTCTCTGGACCTTCTCCAATTTCTCCACATCTTTCTTGAAATGCGGTGCCCAGAACTGGACACAGTACTCCAATTGAGGCCTAATCAGCACAGAGCAGAGCATAATAATGACTTCTTGTGTCTTGCTCACAACACACGTGTTAATGCATCCCAGAATCATGTTTGCTTTTTTTGCAACAGTATCACGCTGCTGACTCATATTCCGCTTTTGGTCCACTATCCCCCCTAGATCCCTTTCTGCCGTACTCCTTCCTAGACAGTCGCTTCCCATTCTGTGTGTGTGTGAAACTGATTGTTCCTTCCTAAGTGGAGCACTTTGCATTTGTCCTTATTAAACTTCAGCCTGTTTCCCTCAGACCATTTCTCCAATTTGTTCACGAGGAACATGTCCCCATGAACAGGTGTCTCCAGTGGATAATAGGGATGTGAAAGGTTAACTGGAAAGCATCATCCTTAAGGGATGGTAACCAGTGGGGGCTGGAGCAGCTTCCTGCCTGCTGTTGGGGGGGACTGCTCCAACCCTGGAGAGGCCTGTCATGGGCAGGGGCTGCTCTGAAGAAGAGCAGCCCCTCTCCATGGCAGGCCCGGGGGTCCCGCAGGCAGGGACTGCTTTGGTGGGATCTGGGATCTAGTGGCAGCCCCAGCATGGGAATAGGCGCCCCATGCCTGGAGTGTGCCCCGCCAGGATCCCGCGTACTCAGGTGACCTCGTTCAATGTCAGGTTAGCCTGCTGTTTAGTGACTAACCAGAGTTTCACATTCCCAGCGGACAGTGGCTCTGACGGCCGCTTTGGGGATGTCGCTCTCTCGTGGCCTTGCACTCCCCCTGCTCACCCACTCTCTCTCTGCTTTCCCTGCAGTTTTGGTCTGTGGTATCACGGCAGCAGCAAAGACCCCCCCAGGCCAGGCTGCTCTGGCGTGTGGGAAATCATTGACTCGCAGGATGTGCATTCTGAGCAGGAGGAAGAGAACAAACCCACACCGGGCTCCCCTGGCAGAGCGGTGCCTCGTCCCTGACCTCAGCTGAGCACGATGCCAGCCAATGGCCCAGCAGCAGCACATGCCCCTCCAGGCCCCTCTCGGAGGCAATGTGATGGGAGGCTCAGTAGCCGCAGCTGCATTAGGAAAATTAGTCTCCCATTGCAGCAGCTGGCCCTGGAGGTGCAACGGCACAAGCGGCCGTGATAGCCTGATGTGTGCAGGTGAGACGGCTCTGCCCCTGCCAGCGCCCACACCTCCTGTGTGCACAGTCAGTGCCCAGCCCCCATCACTGGCAGCTTGACCCCATCAGATGCTCAGACCCAGCTGTGCTCGTGGCTCAGCCCTCGTCGAAAGCCTGTGCCCCTCTGCACCTGCAGCTCAGCCCTTGCTGAATGTCCACTCCTCATCGGCGCCGCACCTGCGCTCATATGGGCACAGCCAATGCTCCTCCTGTCTCTGTACTCATGGCTCAGCCACCCCGGCCAGCGCCTGTCCCTGCGCTGCCAGTCACCCATACCACGGCCACCCACTCAGCCACACA